TTGGCTTAGCCAAGAGTGAGTCTTTCCCAAGCTCTGTGGAGGTCACCTGAACCTCATAATCTCTCTGGGAGGCTGCTGCCATGTATGAAGTAGGTTGGTGCTGGAAGAAAGTGGTTGGCCTCACCAGGGTAGGATAATTTGCTCCATGCAACCCTGTCATCACCCAAAAATCCTCATGCAGCACAAGGACAGCAGAACTGAGCCCACCTCTAGCTGCCTGTAGATTAGGGGCTACAGTCCTTGCTAAGATGGCAAAGATCCCACCAGCCTTAAGGCCTCCATCTGTTCCTCCCTCCCAAGGAGATTGTACCTCCCCTCCAGGCAAAGCTGTTTTCTTTAGGTGCTCTTGGGCAATGGGAAATTACTCCATTTCCCACCAACAGGTCAGTGTTCCCCTTGCCTTGTGTAATAACAAGTTCCTGGAACCTGTGCTTGTGATTTCTGAGGCTAGCAGGAACCAGAGCTGTGCTGGAAAAGGCACAGGGAGTCCCCTGGGAGGGAAAGGCACCCTGCAGCCAAATCCCCCCCACAAGTGCTTCTGCAAAGGGCAGGCTGGGCTAGCCCCTGATGTTGCCACCAGGCAGGGCAAGGAGCAGTGAAAGCCTCTGCTCCATGCAGGCTTTGAGCCCTTGCTCTGCTGCAGCCCCTGGAGCCCTGCTCTCCATCTGCGGCACAGTGGGCATCTCACCTTAATTTACTGGATCTCTGTTAATTATTGTCCAGTTTCCCTGATGATCTTGTGGCTGCATTTAGCTCTTTGTGAAGTCATTTAATGAATAACTGGGAGGGTATTTAGCCAACCCAAATAGACTTTGAGCTGTGCACCAACCATTTGGCATTTTTAATGAGAAATATAAGCATTGGAATGATTTTTAAGCAATCCTCTGACATTCAGCTGGTTGCTGGGATCTGGCTGAGGTGGTGCTTGGGGCTGCACCTCCAAGAGAAGAGAAAACACCAAGGAGCGTGGCTTGGATTCAGCTGCAGAAAATCTGGGGAAGGAGAAATGCATCTGAAGGACTTTTCATAGTGCTTTATCCATAGGAAGTCCATAGAGGGAAAAGTCTGAACTATGCTTCTATTGCAAACTCCCAGAGAATAAGCCAGACCATGGCATTTCTGTGCACAGGACCACCTCTCTGTCTTATACTCTGCTGCATGTGCAGAACCCATTTCCCCAAGGTCCCTACAGAGCTGTCCCCATCCCACACTGCTCATCTCCTCCATGAAAAACACTTCTAGAGCCTTCTCCTGAGGCAGCAAGGCCTGAGCTGTGCAAGGCCAGGGATGCTGCTGGCTGATGCTGTATTTTCCCAGCCAGGCCAGGGCTCTTTTGTCTGTATTTCCAGCAGCACCCAGTCCCCAAGCTCAGGGCTTGGCCATGACCAAGCCCCAGCCTTAGAAGGGTGCACAAGGCACATGAGGAACAGCTTGTTCCCCCTAAAGCAGACCTTGTTCCCTACCAGGTGATGTAATGAGTTCAGCCTAGCATTAAAATCCATCCATCCCTAGCTCATGGCTGAGGATGCTCCGCTTGTCCCTGAACTGGGTCCACCACCTCGGGATGCCCGGTAGAAGGGGGTGTCCCCAACCCAGTGGACCCTCGTTAGCGCTGGTGTCTGGTGCCATCTAGTGAAAAGCCATTAATAAGGTTCCACTCCCAAATGCAATCCCACAGCCTGTCCTGGGATATCCAGCCTTTCCCACATATCCCACCCCAGTGGATGCTCAGGTCCTGCTGTTCCTTCTCCCCTCTCACACTTCCCCTCCGATGCTTTCCCATCCAAGCTGCCAGCCCTCATCCAGCCTCTCCATCTCTCCGCCAGCCCAGCTCCACTTTGTCTACAACTTCCCCTAGTATTTGCCAAAATCACACTGGGCCAACTGAGGCTTAATCATGCCCTCAGGGAGTGCCATTATCTGCTCTAATCAAGCCTGTTATTAAGTCCCAAATTCGGCTAATTGCTTTCTTTTCCCCTCTTTTTAGTTTTTCCCTGCAGTTACTGTATGCTTTAGGGAGCTGCATACACCAGGGAAGTCCCAGATCCAGGGTTACAGAACACTGCAGTGGCTTCTTGGTCACTGCACTCTGTAGCAATAGCATTTAGCTTGGATGTGGCTTGTGACCATCAGCACCTTCCCAACCACCCCCCTGTGCTGTCTGCTGGGCTGCAGGGTGAGGGGGATGGCAGACTGTGAGGTGCATGGATGGGATGTGGGGCTGATGGGTGCGAAATGGGCTGACAGGAGGGCTATGGGGTGGCTAATCACCAGTGCTTCATTTGCCATCCCAGTAAACAGATATAATGAGGCTACAAGTGCCCCAGTCCATGCCAGGTGAGATGAGCCCTGCTCAGAAGCCATCAAATGCCCATGCTGACCTGGGGAACCACAGCTTTCAATTGCATGTGGGAAAAGCTATTCTGCACCTTATAAAACAAATACCTGAGCACGTCCCAGCTCCTTTCCCCAGAGCAGTCCCAGCAAGCCCCACACTCCAGCCCAGGACCTGCCTTCGTCTTCCTGCTCTTCAGTTCCAAATCCAGCCTTAAGCTGGATTTTGTAGTTACAAAAGGTAACTACATACCAGCTCCTCAAAGCCTGAGGACAGGGGGCCTCTGCAGAAGCCCCAGGCCCCTGTGCTGATGCAGAGGCCCTGCAGCCCAGCTGAAAGGAGAGGAACATGTCATACAAATCTTTAGAGTGTTTATTGTCAGGATAAAAATTTCTTTATATAAAAGAAGAGTTTAAAAACAGCACTACCCTGCTCTCAGAATGAAATATATATACACACACATGGATATTTATAGAAAGAATTATTACCGTTTTGCTATGTGATTAAAAAACCAAACAAGATAATGATCGATTCCCGAACAATTCTGCCAAAACAGGGACAAGGGGATCTGCTGATTCTTGCCGCCCGCTTGCCCATGGGTGCATACCTGGGTGCCATGTGGGAGCTGGCTGGGCTGGATCCCCCCTGTGCACTGCCCACAGCTGTCCCGGCCCCACCACTCCGCAGCTCCCAGGGCACCATCACTGGAGGGGGTTTCTCTTGCAAAGCAGCGTGCTGGGTGCTGTGCAGTGGCTGGTTCATCCCAGTTGCTCTGGGAAAAGGCTGGGTCTCACACAGAGCCATAGAATCAGCTGGGTTGGAAAAGACCTTTGAGATCATCAAGTCCAACTGTTATCCCAGCACTGCCAAGGCCACCACTAAACCATGGCTCTGGGGGCCTTGTCTACACAGTGTGTGAACACTTCCAGGGACGGTGACTCTTCCGGGGACGGTGCCCCCCCCTCTTCCCTGGTCAGCCTGTTCCAATGCCTGAGCACCCTCTGGGGAAGGAATTGTTCCTAATATCCAGTCTAAACCCTCATCTAAAGCCCAGCCTGCCCACACAGACATCCTGCCTCATCCCACACCTGCCAGTTCAGAGGAATGAGGTGCCGACACTGACTGAACCCTTTGGCTTCACTGCAGGGGTTTTTGCTGAAGCTCTTTTTTGGTTTGGTTTTTTTTTTAGGCTTTTTTGTTTTTTTAAATACACTCCACATGCCCCTGGGGATTTTGCAATACAAGAACAAACACTGATGCTTTACAATAACCTAGCAATAACAATGCCACGTAGCTACTGTACATCCCCGTGCCCTGTACGAGCGCTGCAGCCCTCTGTAAGGATCACTTCTTCTTGGCAATCTGCTTTTCCAAGTCTTCAAGTCTGGCTGTCATCTGAGCAAGTGAACGTGCTAAGGAAACAGTGTGAGCCAGACGGTCCCCTTGAGGGACCCTAAAATGTTCCCTGCTCCCTTCTATCCATCCCTCCCCTCCTCTCCCCGTGTGCGGGCTGTCCCCAGGCTGCCCTGCACCCCGGCAAGCCCGGGCATCACCCCAAAGGATATTTTTCTCGGTCAGGCTCTGCAGGATGGCCACAGTGTTCGTCTGGAACTGCACCAGCGCTTCGCACTCGCAGGGGCTGCGGATCTCTGTCTCTCCTTTGCCCTCCTCTGTGACCACAGGAGTTTGGGTGCAGTCAGAGCCACGGCCTCATGGTGCCTGGCTCTCCCCTGCTCCCACACAGCACCAGTCCTTTGTTCCCACAGCCACTCAATAGGGCAGGACCTGAGCCTTGGAGCTCCCCCCTCCCCTTTTTCCCCTCTTCCCAGCCTCACTCCTTTTTGCCAGGCTGCATCCCTGCTAGCCCAGCAAGCTCACTGCGAGGCGTCCCACCACGCACCCTATGGAGCTGCCACACACATCGTCACAGTGTGCCAAGAACAGCTAGTGCTGAGCTTCACTTTGCCTTCAAGATGGGCAGAGGGCATACTGACCCTACATCTGCAGCCCTGGGGGGGTCCCAAGGGCAGGGAGACCCTCACAGTTAACCCATCATGGTCCTCCTGTGTCCAGCAGAAGTGCAGGTCTGGATGAGGAGACGGGCCATATTCGGAGCTGGGGCAGCATCCCTCAAGGCAGGTGTGACCCCAGCCTCTGCCCATGCACTGAGGTGGCCGCTCACATTAACACTTTTGTATTAACCCCCCAGCTCCACTTTCTCTTCCAAATCCCTCCCTAAGACCCACCTCTGTACCCCACCAGCCTCGTGAGAGCCAGGGGCAGCCTTGGCTCACACCAGCCCAGTCCTGGGGTACATGATGCAGGGTGACAGAAACCACCCCACTGGCTCTGCGGGGAGAAGAGGGCTCCCCCAGCTTGTGTCTGAGCCCCCAGTGTGACTAGAGCACCCACCTGGGCAGATGTTCAGCTTGAAGTTCTCCACGAGGTGGGTCATGGTGGTGAAGTCTGCTGAGTAGGAGAAGTGCTGCTCCACCGGCTCAGAGGCGATCGCTCTCAGCTCCTCTTCCACAGCCTTGCCAACACCCACAGCGAACATGACGATCCCTGCATGGCAAGGATGGACCCTGAGCACTGCGATGGCCACCCCACATCCAGCAGCCCCAAGCCCAAAGGAAGCAAAGCCAAGGATGCAGGATTTACACTGGGCTTCCCAAATACGCATCAGGAATTTAGGCAGGAAACGGCAGCACCGCTGTGGTGCAGGCTGCTGCATGAAGGATGCTGATCAGAGCAGCCTAAACCATGGCAGAGGCACTTCTGCCTCTGCAGACCTGGGTGATGTAGCACCTCAAGACTGGATGCTACGGCGTCCCCCAGAGCCAGACTCCTCAGGGAACCATCCTGGGGCATGCCCAAAGCACTGCAGTTTGGGGCTCTCCAGCCCCTCATACCTGACTCCTTTGCTCTCCTGGCCCATTCAGAGATGTCATCCTGGGAGCGCCCATCTGTGAAGACGAGCCCGATTCTGGGGATGTTGTGGGAGAGAGGTCTGGCACCTTCCAGCTCGGAGAAGCTGTGCTCCACCATGTGCTTGAGGGCAAGGCCTGTCATGGTGCCTTTCTCCATGTACTCCACCTCCATCACTGCCTTCTTGATCTCATCCGCGCTGTGGTACTTGTTGAGGGGGAACTCGGTGCGCACACGGCTGGAGTACTGCACCAGCCCCACGCGTGTGCCATGGGGGGACACCTCCAGCAGGTCCACGATGCGGTTCACAAACTGCTTCACCAGCTCAAAGTTCTGGGGCCGGACACTCTTGGAACCATCAATCACCATCACCAGGTCGACATGTCCAGCCCCACACTCTGTGGGTACAGAGGGAAGGTGAGAAGGGACCAGCCTGGCCATGGGCACCATCAGAGTGAAGGTGCCTGAGCTGGTGCTGGGCTTCAGGAACTCTGTGGACCCCCCAGAACTGCAGCCAGCATGAGGCTGGGAAGTGGGGCAAAGCATATCCAGGGTTCTCACCCCCAAAACCTCCACTGCCACCCCAGCATCCCCTAAAGGTCTTTCCTAGGTCTCCCTTTTCATCAAAGCCCCTGTTGCATCTTCTGGGCCACGTCTCTGAAGACACAAGCCTGTATCCATCCCTGCAGCAGCCAGGGCGCTCCCCCAAGCCCAGCCAGCTCTCCATCCCCTTTCAACCCAGCTCAAACTCTCACTCAGATCCCCAGCCCAGCTTCAGGTAAGCCCTCGCCAGGAGCACAGAGCACAAGGAGGATGCCAAGAGCCTCATGCCAGTACTCACTGCTGCACGCCTTGCCATCAGCCTGGAGCTGCTGACCCTCAGGGCACACGCAGCGGTAGGAGCCCTCCATGCTCACACATTTGAACTCGCAGCCATGATCCACCCCGTTGCAGAGGTCAGTGGCTGGAAGACAAGCCAAGGGCACAGGGTGATCCCCATTTGGGTCCAGGAACAGCCCTTTCCCTAGGGACTGGGCAGGACAGAAAGGTATCTGCCATACACTGCAGCCTGTGCCGCACCAGGACGTACCTCTGCAGGACCTGCTGTCGGGCTGCAGCGTGAACCCGCTGCGGCAGCGGCAGTAGTGCCCGTTGGGGATGCTCACACACTCGTGCTGGCAGCTGTGGTTTCCGAAGCTGCAGTAATCGATCACTGGTAAGAGAAGCAGAGGGGTGGGCAGAAAGGGAAAGACAAGAGGAGAGGGAGAGCAAGAAGCGAATGAAGAAGGGACAGGAAGGGAGATGGCCACGTACTGGAGCAGCTCTTCTTGTTCTGGTGGAGGTAGTAACCTGCATGGCAGTGGCACGTGTACGACCCACGGACGCTGACGCACTGGTGTTGACAGCCATGTCTCCCGTCCGCACACGCGTCGATGACTGTGGGGAACAGGACACCATCACCCTCCTGTCCCAGCTGAGCAGGGCCTGCTCCAGGGCTTCACAGCAGCTCCCAGCACCATGAGACAAGAAGGAAAAGTCCCGGGGAGATGGCCAGACCAGCTAATACAGCTTTGCATTCATCATACAGGGCTAAAACACTGAGCACTTTGGTGGCTGGGATGTGCATCCTCTGGTACTCCCTGCCCAGATGCCCTCAGGTTGTGCCCACATGAGCCCCAAGTGTCCATCCCAGAGAGGTGACCAGGATTTAGCAATGCTGAATGTCTGCAGTCATTACAGACCCAGGAAGCAGTAGGCTCGGTGAACTGAGCACCCTGGCTGCTGCTGCCCTCCCTGGGTCTTGTGGTGCATTTCAGCTTCCCTCCATGAGACCTGTAACCAGAAGCCCCCTACGAGAGTTAGGATAAAAGAAGGGTTTTTACAGGAACAGGTCTTTCCGTCCACGTTGAGCCTGTAGCCTGGGTTGCATTCACAGTAGAAGGAGCCAGGGGTGCTGATGCAGCTGTGCTGGCAGCCATGCTCCTGCCCCGTGCACATATCCACCCCTGCGAGACAGAACAGACATCAGAGCAGCCCATGAGCTGATGCATGGGGATCCCGGCTTTGCCACCTGCCCTGTCCCTGCAGCCGAATCCACTGGGATAACCCACACAGCACCAGTCTTCACCCACTGATTTCCAGTGCACAGACATGGACACTGTGTGGGGCAGGTTTCAGAACCTCATTGGCTTTTTGATCCACCTGAGTGCTAAATCAGTGCTCAGTATTAATTGATACTGATAATGGCTTGAGTTGAGTAAGCAAAAGCTTGAGCTCAGCTGACACACACTGAAGGAGCCAGGTCTGTGTGTCCATGCAGACAGGAAGGCAGTATCTGGTGAGTCCTGGACTGCTCCAGCACACAAGGACTCATCACAGCACTGACACAGCCCTGCATGTGCTCCTTGCTAAAGAACACTGCCAGAAAGAGGGTGGCAGCTGCCTTCTGGCCTTCGACAGATGCTGAAGCACATGAGCAAGGTCTTACGTCTTGCTGCAGTGACAGGTCTCTGACACCAGCATGGCAGGGGACAGACAGGTCCCAGCCTGCAAGCTCTGACCAGCGTCAGCATGGCCACAGTGAGAATCAGCCTCCTGGTTTATTAAACACCGGTGTGCATGCAGCAGATGCCGTGCATGTGTCTGTGTAGGAGGAGACCCTGCTAGAGCCACATCAAAATGTACACAGGGCTCTGGGATGTGTCATCCATCCCCATCACACCCAGGGAAACCAGCTCCACATTTCCTGCTCTTTACTATTCCCATCACTGCTGCCATGACATCCTGGCTTGGGGCAGAGCTACCATGCATGGGTGAAGAAAATCACTTCCTTGCAATGCTTTCAAAGCTTTCTTTATCTCACCCCAGGAAAGGGGAGCAAGAGGAAAGGCCACCTTGCTTTGGTATCCTTTGGTGTCCTGGCTCCACGCTTCCCTGTCCAGGCTGCTCCTAGCAAGGGCAGCCACCCCAAACACCCCTCTGAATGTCACCTTCTAGCCTAGGTGAGGAGCAGGCACCAGCGCCATCCTCGCCCACCCCTGCAGCCACGGCTCTCACCCACCACAGAGCTTGTCCTGGAACTGCTTCCCAAACTGCTGTATGAGCTCGAAGGACTCCACCAGGAAGACGTGCTCCTCCAGCGGCGGTGAGGCCATGGCACGCAACGAGTTCATGTCTGCCCGCTGGATGCCCACGGCGTAGATCTCAATGCCAGCGTTCCGGGCCTGGGTGGCCACCTCGGTGACACGGTCCTGGGGTCGTCCATCCGTCACGATGATGGCAATGCGGGGGATCTTCTTGTGCAGAGGGCGTGCGCCCTCCTGCGTGGTGAAGGCCACGTTCATGGCGTACTGGATGGCCAGCCCTGTCATGGTGCCCTGGGCCAGCGGGACAATGCTGTTGATGGCCTTTTCCATGTCTGCCTGCGTGAAGAAAGTCTTGAGGGAGAAGATGTTCTGCACCTGACTGGAGTACTGGATCACCCCGACCCGCGTGGCATTGGGGCCCACGTCCAGGCTGCTGATGATGTCCATCATGAACCGACGCATGGTCTCGAACTCGAAGGGGCGCACGCTGCGTGAGCTGTCGATCACAAACACGATGTCCAGGGGACCTGTCCTGCACTTCAGGGCTGGAAGGGGGAAAAAACAGTTCAACCCCACAACTGCCTGTGGAGAGCAGGGCTGGCAGCACAGACATCCCTGTGGGATGGCTTGAGGGGTGCTCAGCGGAAGATGTAGAGGGCAGATCTGTGCAGCCCCCACTGCCAAATAAACCCATGGAGGGTGTTGGCAGAGTAGGAGCAGGGGGGACAGGCTGGAAGATAGGCCCTGGCTGTGGGGCTGTGGGGAAATGGCAGTATCCCTCCTCCCTAACACCATCCCTGTATCCAGACCCAGCTCCTGCTCCCTGTATTTCCACAGCCAGCAGCCTCAGGAGCTGCAGAAACACTTCTCTGTCAGCATCTGCCCTGGCAAGGTTTAGGCACAGGTTTAGGCAGCAGCATCTTCATCTCTGCAGCAAATCAGAGCATTAAACTGTAAACCAGACCAGTGCCTTGTGCTGTCCTCTGCAAGCCGCAGCCTCTGCCCCAGACCTCTGCACCGCACAGACTCCTACTTGCTCAAATGGCAAGCAGGAACATACTGCTTTGGGCAATTCTTCTGTTCCTCCCCACAGCTCCAGACTTCCCTGGGTCTTACTGCATTTTGCCAGTTTTTGCCTAAAACCAGGGCTTGCTTTGGTGTTTTGTCTTTTATTTTTTAATGGCAGAAAATGAGACAGTGAAAAGCACAGCTAAGGGCATGCACATGGCAGGGATCAAGCCAAAGAGCCTCTCTTGGACATATGGGTGCTACTTCCAGTGCAAACTTGGAGAGTGTTTAGCAAGTTAAATGCCAATGAACATATTTTACTTGGCTTGTGTGTACCCAAGCCTGGGAGAATTTGGCCCTAATGGTAAGCAAACACTTTGAGTCCCTTTGGGATGCTGCCCAGACCCAGGCTGTCATCTCAACTGCTCCAAAGGTCTCCAAGACATACCACCCGCTCCCTTCTCTGTTTGGTGCCTTCACTGTTTCTAAACTGGAATTGATTTAGGTGCCTCTGCCCCAGGAGGAGAGCGGGTGGTATCCCGGGGTTTGCTTTGTCCCCTCTATCAGGAGACCCATGATGGGAGGAGGATCCCCCTCACGCCTGTGCCTCCTGCTGAGGTCAGAGGGGTGACAAGCCCTGAGCTGGGGTGTGTCAAAGCTGAGGACATGCCCGGAGCAAGTGGCACCAGACCCACCATGCTGGGGCCGGGCTCAAGCTCCTGCTCCCCTGGGCAGTGCTCAGAATTTCAGGTCCCACACCTGGGGGGACCCTCCATCCTCCTGGGATGTCTCCAAAGAAGAGGCATCGACTCCCCCCACCTCAAGCAGTATGGGCTTCACTGAACTTCACTGAGCTTCTCTCTCCTCCAGGCACTCCGCACCAGCCAGGGCTCACCTGCAGGTTTTGGTCTGGCTTCCAGCCTCGTCAGGAGAAGCAGGAGGAGCGGGATGATGGGCAGAAGCTTCATTATGGCTCTGTGAGACCACACACTGCGGGGACTCACTGCAGGGAGAAGACAATGTGCAATCAGTGCTGAGGATGGGCCAAGCCACAGAGTGACATTCACCTGCGGTGGGTGTCCCCAGGCAGTGCCAGAAACCATGAGCAGCAGCAGCAGTTTTGACAGATCTGTCCCCAAACATCTCTGGACCCACGTGGGACTTTTCCCATTTAAGGACTGGCAGTCTCCGCACAGCTAAATTTCATTACAGCAGCAACAATCTGCCAAAGGGTCTGATTTTCTGCTCTGGGTGGAGCTGGCCAAGCCTTATTTTCACTTGCAAACCAGGCGGATGGGATGTTCAGCCAAATACTTTTTCACTGGCGGGGGGGCCAGCCGGAGAGTGGGAAAGCTGCACCCGGGGATGCAGAGCACCTCCTGAAGCTCCCTCTGCACAGGAAGAGAAACCCCCAGAGGAAACACCAGCACAGACAAAACCTGCTCAGAAGCGTCTCAACGTCACTGGCAAAGACCGTTTTTCCAAGCAGTTCCATAAGTCTATTCTCTGCCTTTTTCCAAACTACCTCTGGAGAGCAGAAGCCTCTGCAGGCACAGGGGGTAACAGTGCCTGTGCGGATGGGCTTGCACCCACTCCTCCCAGGCAGGGTGCTGGGTGAAGCACTGCTGCTCTCCTTCACATCACCGCAGGGAACCCCACCACTGTCACCAATGCTTTGCAGCTCTCCCCATCCTGCTGGCTTTTCTGAGGGATGTTCTGCACCCAACAGTGTTTGAGATGGGAGAGTTGAGGGAAAAGATGTTTAAACCAGTTACCCAAAACCTCAGCTTGTCACTTGTCTCCGTCCCTGGCCACCTCTGTGTTGCCTTTCCCTGCCCTTGCCCAGATCCTGCAGGGACATGGCTTATTTTTATCACTTTTATCCAGCCTTGGTTAGAAACCCAAGAAGCTGGGGGGTGGAAATGCCACAGGTAATGCAGCTTTCCCTGGGATACACCAGCACCATGACTGGGCATAGATACTAGAAGGGTGCTTTTTAAAAACAAAAAAAAAAATAATGAAAAGGCATACGGAAATTCATTTTATCAGTAGTTATCAGCTATATTTATTTAGCCCCAGGAGGTCTCAGTTGTAATTCATCACCAGGGTTGCCATTTAATTGCTCAGTGGTTACGTGCAGCCCTGAACCTCATGTATTTGATACCAGGGACACTGATAATAGGTTTCACAGCTGCATCTTAAAACTGGCTCCAGAAGCCTCAAAGTGAGAGACTCAGCCTTTTCCCAGGGAGTGTGAGCACCCAGCTTGGGACGTGGCAGCTCCTGCAGAGCTGTCAATGGAAAGACCGGTGGGATCACTCTGGTGGATCACTTGTGGGGTCACTGGAGTTCTGGAGATGAGGGGAGGCTGCAGCCCAACAGGCATTTTCAAGGAAGCCACAGGGCTTTGTGGCCAGGAGTGCTTGGGTGTCTGTGCACCCTCACAAGAGCACCATGTGCAAGCAGAGGAGCAAACAGCCCCTCTTATCCCAGCTTTGTTTCCCTATTTAGCAGATTGGTCTTCTAGCAATTTTGGGGGGGGCAGAAAGCACTCACTAACCGCTAAATATTCTGGGGACAGCTATGCCACCTACAATGTTTCTACAGCATTCTGCTCTCCAAGCCTCCCTGCAGTAGCAGGCTGGTACGGAGCCTGCATCTCGTAGCATCCAGATAGCTTCAAAACCAGCCAGAGACAGGAATGAGGTTTTGGGCCAGAAACCAAGGAGAAAACCAGTTCAAGACTGATCTATTTTTAACAGCATCTCAGCTTTGGAGGAAATTTTGGCACTCCTCACGGCTGGAGGGGCTGATGCTGCTGGGACAGGGCAGGGCAGCTCAGCCGTACATCCAGCACCAGTCCTGGCAGCAGAGACCCAGGCTGGGACAGCACCCTGGTCCCCAGTTCAATATGAAGCACAGCCCTGCCCCAGCAGCAAGGCTTATGGGGATAAGGAGGGGATAGGGAAGCAAAAGCAAGGGATAGATGCCCCCAAGTATCCCTCCCACCATCCTGCACCAGGCATCTTCCCTGCTACCCACTGTCCTCACTCTCTCTGCACTTGCACCCCCATGGAGGGGTTCCCCCATCCCGAGGGCTCCCACACTTCCCCCATGAACCTCCTGCTACCACACAGGAGCGGGAGGGAGATGGGTGGGAAGCGACCGGCTGGTGGGCAGGTGCTGCAGGCAAGGCAAACACGGCGCCGGCTGCAGCACCAGAGACCTTGAGATAACACGGAGCTATAAAGGCAAAAATGTCCAGGCGGGGCGAGCACTGCCCCAGCAGGGCTGGCTCAGCCCAGCACAAGCTGAGAGGGACACTTGGATCATCTCCTGACCTTTCTGAGCAACGCAAGGGGAAAACCAGCCATTGCTTGTCCCTGCTGAAGGAGATGCTCAGTTCATGATGCAAACAGGGTGACCAAGGGAAGAGCCACATGAAGCGTCAGCGATGACCCCAGCCTGCTCTTGACTCTCCTCGTGATCTCAGGCAAGGAGGACATGGAGATGAATCCCCAGAGGCAAACAGGTAAGCCAGCATGCCTTCCCCAGGACCCTTCCCAGGGCACCTCCACCAGCAGTGCTGTCCCCAAGGCGCTTGCATCCCTCCCAGCTCCACCACTTGTCCGTCTACTCTCCCTGCCAAGTGCTGAGTCTCAGGAAAAACAGACGCTTCAGATTTCAGTGTGGCCTCCTTGGCAGCTCCCTCCTGGCTACAGGTTAACAGAAACGCTCCCAATATTCCCCTTCTGGTTCAATCCACCCAGGTCGGACTGGGCGCATCCTCCCCTGGGCAAAGGACAGGCCATGGCAGGGAGCAGCTCACTACCCTCCTTGTTGTTACAGGGGTGGGAGCTTTATAGATTGAATTGTAGAAGGGATGAAGCAGATGGGGAAAGAAGGAGTGAAAGGCTCAGGAGGTGGCAGTGCGTTCACAGCCCAGGAAAAGCCCCAACCATAGCATCATTAGGAGTAAAGCAGATTGTGGACCACAGCTATGGAGTCATGAGCCAGGTCTTAGGTACAAGATTTCATATATTTGGGCACATCAGCCTTTAGCTGAGACTTCTGTTAATGGCAGAAACCACACTACTCCACTCATAGGTCCTGGGCTTGGCAGACCTGGGGCACATTGTGGGAGCAGCAGCAGCAGCTCTGCCCTGGCTCTGAACCCTGCAAGAAGCAGGACAAGAGATCACCATGCGTTGCAAGGAGTGGGGAACAGTCAGGAGCCTCTGACCAAGCACGCTGCTACCCAACCCGCCAAAGCCGGAGGGCTGTCCATGCAGCATGCCCGTGCACAGGAGGAGGCATGCACAGCAAGCCTGGGCATGCATGGCAGGGGTGCATGGCACTGATGCCACCTCTGCTACCAGCTAATAACACTTATTTCTGTGCTGGAAACCTTGGCTGATGGTAGAGCAGACCTAGATGTGATGTTCCTGAGACTCGCCCACCTTGCCTGCCTCTCCATGTACCCTGTTTTGTTCTGCAGGGCTTTTCTATGTGCATACCCAACCAGACATTTTTGGCAGGTCATAATTCAACTCCCACATCAGTGCTATTTGATGAAAGTGTCAAAAAAAGCCACAAACTGGCTCAGAAGCCTGGACACAGACTTATTGTGTTTAGGACACCAGAGTCCTGCCAGGACAACAGCAGAAAGACAGCAAGAGCTGGCCTCAGGCTGGAGGATAGGGAGACAAATCTTCATGTCCTCAGCAGGACAAGTCATCCTTCAAGTCCATGCGCAAGAGAGAGGCTGCCCCAAATGTGCATGAACCAAGAGAGGATGACAGAAACATGTCTTGCCCCAGGCGCAGGGGACAATGAAGCAACCGGAGCTACCTGGAGAGATCCAAACAACTTACATCAACCTGGAGGCACTTCCTGATACCCGATTTTGCTGTGCAAACCCCGATGGACTGCTGGCACGTTGTCCATATATTTGGATGACCCTCAAGCCATGTGAATGGATGAAGCCTGCAACATCCCCAGAGCTGGATCCACCCTCTCCTGGAGGGTTGCCCAAAGGTTGGTTTCTTCCAGCACAACCCACAATGTCAAGGTGCTCCCTGCCTGCAGGTGCACGGCTCTCAGCGGTGCCTCTGCTGCCCACAAGATGGATTCAGTGCCGTTCTACAGGCAGCATTGACCTTGCACTCAGTCACAGTTCCACTACCTCAGTGCTCATCCTCCACAGCAGCTGGGTGATGAGTTGCAAATCCCACAGGAGCAATGACAACAATGCAGTTTTCAGAGCAAGGAAAAGTCAGGGAGCACACGCACCCCGAGGCCAGGGAAACGGCATGAATTTCCAGCCCAAAATGTTTTTCTCCCCCATTTTAAGGACTGATGTGTCCTTGGTTCTTCCCAAACACACATGTGGGAGAACAAGAGCAGAGCCTTTCCAGGACATTGCAGTACTCTCTGGTTACAACCCTACAGAAGCTTTACTGGGCCAAGTGCCACCTGGAAGGACACGTTGTTTGAAAAACAAGGTTGTATTTCTCTGACAGCACATCATGGCTCCAAACCCAACAGGAGTGAATCGGCAGAAGTGATCTAAGAGGAAAACCTTGCTGGATGCAGAAAGGACTGCTCTTTCTCTCTCTTTGCCCACCCCCCCAAAAGCCAATTCCCTGTTTTATGAGCCCCACTCCTGCACTCACTAAGATTAGCACGTTCACAGGAAGAGCAGGAAGAAGACAGGTTTCTTGCCCAGGTCTATTTGCAGGCTGAGCAACAGACATCTTTGTCTCACAGCTCATGGACCTAACATTGTACAAGTCCCGACTAACTTACACTGTGAGATGAAATCTGAAGTGCTCTCGGGAAAGAAATGCTGGGTGCAGCAGTGGACAGAGCTTCAGGTGTTCTCCACGACAGCACATGGGGTCTTTCTCTGCCATCAATCTATCTCTAAAAGACCGCTCCATGCTCTGCAACTCAGCTAGGAGGAAAG